CCCCCCCCCATACACTTTACATCATCTCCAGATGACTCATAATATCAAACACAATGTAAATGCTATGTAAATAGTTGTTAGGTTGTGTTGTATAAGGAGCAATGACAAGGAAAAAGATCTATATGTGTTCAGGACACCTGCCGTTATTTCCTGAATATTTCTATGCACAGTTGGTTGAAGCTGAACATACAGAGGGCTGATTATAATCCCTAAATATAGAAGCGCATTGTCTAGTGCAGTGATACAGTCTGGGCAAACCAACAATGACAGAAGTGCATCAGTCAGGATGAGCATGGTGTGCTGCAGTGACAAGCAACCGAATCACCACACAGCTCATGTCTTGTTCATGGTGTTCAATAGCATCCCCTGCCTTTTCCATGAGGGGTACATTCCAAGATGCCCAATGGAATCCCAAAACCACAGACAATGCTGAGCCCTGCATTGCTGTTATTTCATCCTATAAGCCCTGCAGCACTGCCACACAGTACCAGGGTTCATCTGTTCTCCATGCTGTATGCCCTGATGCCTCCTTTGTATCAGTCCTCTTGGACTCTCTGACCATTATGAAGTAAAACAGGAATTACCTGAACACAAGCGATTCAAAGCCCTGACAGTCAACCTGATAGCCCAGCTGGCTACCATGACTCACAGGCGTGTAGCGTATACAGCCTGGATACACTGAAGGAAGGATTATCCAGATCCCAGGTGGGATGTAGCAGGACAGCTGAGATTTCCTCATACTCCTGAGAACAGTGCCAGTTGGGAAGCTTCAATGTAGCATTTTCAGACCCCGGTCGACCACAGGTCACAGAAACAGAAGCCACAGATGAGGAAAACTATGGAAAGTGGATCAGCAGAGAACTTCACTCACTCCTGGATGAGGGGCCGCAGACCAGCTACCACCTGGCTTGCATCTGCTTGCCACAGCAGAAACAAAGAGAAATGGCAAATTGTAACTGCCTCTTCCACCCGGAAGTAACACAGGGTCAATTCTGCTCCAATTTGCTTGGCCAAAGCAATGCATTTGAAGTCCTGAAGAGTGAGGAAGAACAGTGAGCTTTGATCTCAACGTGCTCCCAGAGACGAGGATGTACAATGCTTGTGAGCATTCCCAGTGATGACCAGATGTGCGCTAGTGCTATGGGAGCACAAAGAAAGAGCCACTAACTCTCAGAGCAAAAAGGGTCAGAAATGGCTTTCAAGAGGAATAAATGCAAAGAAAGAAGGAGTTATTACTCAATCAAAAATGAAACAGCATTCTCAATAAGGGAAAAGTCAGTCTCTTCAATAAAGGGTGCTGGGAAAACCGGACATTCATATGCAGAAGACTGAAACTTGACACCTCACTCCTCACCTCTCGCCCTATACAAAAATCAACTCAAAGTGGATGAAAGAGCTAAGATCTGAAACTATGAAACTACTAGAAGAAAACATAGGGGAAACTCATCAAGACATTAACATAGGCTACAATTTTTTAGATAAGACCCCAAAAGCCCAGGTAACAAAAGCACAGACAAATGGGATTCAATCAAACTAAGAAGCTTCTGCACAGCAAAAGAAACAATCAACAGAGCAAAGAGACAACCAAGAGAACTGGAGAAAATATTTGCAAACTACGTATCTGACAAATTATTAACACTGAGAATATATGAAGAACTCAAAAACTCAACAACAGCAAGAAATGAACAATTCAGTTAAGAAATGGGCAAAATGGGGCCGGTGCTGAGGCGCAGTGGGTTAACGCCCTGGCCTTAAGTACTGGCATCCCATATGGGCACTGGTTCAAGACCCGGCTGTTCCATTTCCAATCCAGCTTTCTGCTGTGGCCTGGGAAAGCAGAAGATGGCCCAAGTTTTTGGGCCCCTGCACCCACGTGGGAGACCTGGAGGAAGCTCCTGGCTCCTGGCTTTGGATCGGCGCAGCTCCAGCCATTGCAGCCATCTGGGGAATGAACCATCGGATGGAGGACCTGTTTTTCTCTCTTTCTCTCTCTCTCTCTCTCTCTCTCTCTCAGCCTCTCCTCTTTCTGTGTAACTCTGACTTTCAAATAAATAAATAAACCTTTTAAAAAAAAGAAAGTAAAAAGCTTAATCAATGACCAAATTTCTCTAAGAAAGAAAGAGAAAGAAAGAAAGAAAGAAAGAAAGAAAGAAAGAAAGAAAGAAAGAAAGAAAGAAAGAAAGAAAGAAAGAAAGAAAGAAAGAAAAAAAGAAAGAAAGGAAGGAAGGAAGGAAGGAAGGAAGGAAGGAAGGAAGGAAGGAAGGAAGGAAGGAAGAAATGGACAAAGTCACTTAATCAAGTGGTTAAGATGCAGTTAAGACACCAGCAACCCATGTCGGAGTGCCTGGACTGGAATCTCAGTCCCACTCCTGACAGCATCTTCCTGCTAATATGCACCCTTCAAGGCAACAGACGATGACTTAAGGACTTGCATCTTTGCCACCAGCATGGGAGATCCACATAGAGTTCCTGGCTCCTGGCCTCGGCCTGGCCCAACCCTGGCTGCTGTCAGCATTTAGGGAAGTTATCCAGTAGATGGAGATCTCTGTCTCTGCCTTTCTGCCTTTAGAATAAATAAAAATTACTTGATTTGTTGAAAATAACCAAGAGTGTTGGGCAAGAGACAGGCACACAGCAGAGAATCTGAATTCTGAATGGAGTCTGGGGCAGAGTCTGTTTGCCAGAGTGATCCAGGAAATTTCACTTTGCCAGACCACGAGAGAGTAGCCTGAGTGAGGTCTTGGAAACCACAGTGTATGAAGATGCGCACTGCTTGAGAAGAAAGGGCCCTCCCAGACCCCCTGTTCTGTAACCTGTATGCTTCCCTAGCCCTGAATATAGAAGAGGCAGTTTCTCAGATGTGCGGGCGATCTGGCTGCGACCTCTGTCACCCCACTGATCGCCAGGGCTGATTTGGCTGATCCAGCTGGCTAGGCGGGCGTCCTCTTCCCCACTCCCCGCTCCATGTGCGTCCCTCCCACAGCTGCGTGCCCAGCTGAAGAGGACAAGCTTCCCCTCTAGAGGAGGACGGGTCTCTGTCAAGGGCATCTGAGCAGTTGCGCTCCCCTGCTAGAACCTCCAAACAAGCTCTCAAGAAGAGGCAGCTTCTTTAGGAAATAGTACCTTCCCACTGTCTCCTTTGCTTGTCGCTAATAAATAAAGCTTTCCTTTGAGCAGTTCCCACTTTGAAGCTGATTATTTGGTGACACCCCAAGCAAATGGACCTGAAGTGTCTGCTAACAAGAACTGAAAGACAGGGGCCAGCACTGTGGTGTAGCCTGCAGTGCCAGCATCCCATATAGGCACCAGTTCAAGTCCCAGCTGCTCCACTTCCGATCCATCTCTCTGCTATGGCCTGAGAAAGCAGCAGGAGATGGTACAAGTCCTTGGGCCCCTGCACCTGCATGGGAGACCCAGAAGAAGCTCCTGGCTTCTGGCTTTAGATTGGCACAGGTCCAGACATTGCAGCCAGCTGGGGAGTGAACCAGCAGATGGAAGACCTCTCTCTCTGCCTCTCCTTCTCTCTGTGTATAACTCTGACATTCAAATAAATAATAGAGCTTTTAAAAATAGAGCTGGAATACAGGAGCTGGTAGGCTCCAAGCACAAAAGATAAGGAAACAGAAAAAAGTAGTTGTCTGGTTTGATTGGTTTATGTTGTGTCTATGGGTTGAAATAGTGTACTATACCCCATAAATGTATACAAGTATCACATGTTAATCAAAAATAAAACAACATAATTTTTAAATACCCCTAACAATTACAGGAATTATGACCTTTCCAACTCTCATACTCATTTTAAAAGTTCCCAGAGCTTTGAAGAATATTGCTTCCTGTTGAGGACCACTGATTCATAGGATAATCTCTTTTTCTTTAAGACCTGTGACATATAATCAGATTTCTTTTAGAATTTATTTATTTGAAAGCCAGAGTTACAGAGAGAGAGGGAGAGGGAGAGACAGAGAGAGATCTTCCATCTGCTGATTCACTCCTGATGGGGTAAGCTGAAATCTGTGGCCTGGAGCTTCATCCAGGTCTCCTATGAGGGTGGCAGGGGCCCAAGCACTTGCGCCATCTTCTGCTGCTTTTGCTAGGCCATAGCAGAGAGCTGGGTCAGAAGTGGAGCAGCCAGGACTCGAATCAGCACCCATATGGCATGCTGGTGCTGCAGGCTGGGGCTTCAACCCACTGTGCCACCGCACTGGTCCCATCAGTTCCTTGACAACTTGATGACAAAGGGCAGGCCCTTAGTCCCATACATGCATGCTGGTGCTCTTATAAGCAGACCCCAGAGAACTCTCTACATGCAGCACTGAGGACCCAGCAAAAAGACGGCCGTCTCCAAGCCAGGATGAGGGCCCTCACCAGAAACCAAATCTGCTAACACCTGGATCACGGGTCTCAATCCCAGATGGGTGAGAAAATGTCATCTGTTTAAACCCACTCAGCCTGTAGTGTTTTATTATGGTATTCCTGGGAGGCTAGCATATCTGTCAGTCACCCTGGTTACACCCTGGTGTATTCAAAAAACCAGAGTATTAGGCAGCCTCAAGAGAAAACGGGGCTCAAAGAAGTAGAGCAGAATAGTGGTCACCCGAGCCTGGGAATGGGGGGTGGAGGGAGGATGGTCAACAGGTACAGGGTGCAGGTGGACAGGAGGAAAACTTTCCAGTGTTCTGTGGCACAGTAGGATAGCTGTGGGTGGCCACAATTAGTTGCATGTGTCAAAATAGCCAGCAGAGGGGATTCTGAATGTTCCCAAGACAAACAAATGATCCATGTCTGAGATGGTAGATATGCCAGTTACTCAGAACTGATCCTTACACATTGTACTCATGCATTGAATTCCACACTGTACCCAATAAGTATGCACAGTTACTCTATGCCAATTAAAGATAAAAATATATTTTTAAAGCAGGAGGAACAGGTGGCAGATTCACAGGCAGTGCCGTGGAAAGATGTACCCACAGTCTTGTGTGATAAAAACAGGCTATCAATACCTGCACAGCATGGTCCCATGGAGAAACACGTGCCATACGGGCTTCTGCAGACTGAACAGCTCTGGAGAGTGGTGGCAACGAGGAGACAAAAGGACAAAAGGGATGGAGGGTTTGATTTTTTTAAGTCACACATGACACTTTTAAGACAAAGCAGGGTTGTTGTTTTCGATAGTTAGTTAATTTATAAATACAGTCTGTACATTTAAAAAACAAAGCCTAGCCTTTAAGAAGCCCACATCCCGTATCAAAATACCTGGGTTGGATACCCAGCTCTGGCTCCTGATCAGTTTCCTGCCAGTGATTCTCAGAGGCAGCAGTGATGGCTCAAGTAGCTGGATCCCTGTCACCCATGTGGGAGACCGAGATTGAGTCCGCAGCTTCCACCGTTAACCCCAGCCCAGCCCTACCCCAGCTAGTGCAGGCATCTGGGGAGTGAACCAGTGGATGGGAGTTCTCTATCACTTTTGCAGATAAGTCATGCAAAAGGAAACTTTCACATCAGAAGATAACCCCATAGCATGAGAAAAACGGAGGGCGAGGCTTGCCAAGAAAAGGGGAAGGTGGGGCCAGCCCTGTGGTGTAGCGGGTAAAGCCACCGCCTTCAGTGCTGGCATCCCATATGGGCACAGGTTCGAGTCCCAGCTGCTCCACTTCTGATCCAGCTCTCTGCTACAGCCTGGGAAAGCAGTAGAAGATGGCCCAAGTCCTTGGGTCCCTGCACCTGCATGGGATGACCTGGAGGAAGCTCCTAGCTCCTAGCTTCAGATAGGCACAGCTCCAGCCATTGTGGCCGGTTGGGGAGTAAACCAGCAGATGGAAGATCTCTCTCTCTCTCTTGTTCTCTGTCTCTCTCTCTTTCTCTCTCTCTCCCTCTCCTCTCTCTGTGTAACACTGACTTTCAAATAAATAAATAAATCTTTAAAAAAAGGGGGGGGGGCAAGCACTTCAAAAGGACTAATGAGATTTTGTTTATTGCCTTGGTTCAAGCTTCACTCTTCAAAAAGAGCAGAAAAACACTACATCACACAGCACCAAGCACCAATATGTTTGTCATTAGTCAAAACTGCAGTGAAAAAAAATCAAAGAGAAAACCAAGAGTTGGGACGTACGTGTTGCTATGAGCATTTGCTGAGAGGAGGTGGTCTCTCAGACTGGGAGGTTCTGCCCAGCTTGGCTCCCAGCCTTTAGCTTGTGGGAGGATAACACCAGCCAAACATTCTTTCAAGTCCTTGAGATATATGTCTGTTGCTGTTTTCCTGCAAATATTTGCATGTTGATCTCACTCAATGCTCTCATTTTTCAAGTGCTATTTTAAGTACAGAAGCACCTAAACCCAAACAACCCCAGAAGACTTTCATGTGACTTCCAGGGCATCCACTTCTCCACCCTGACCCAGGTCTTTGAAATTCTAATTGGCAGGCAGAGTTAAAAAACAATGCACACCGCCTTTCCTCTGGTAGACAGACCTGCCCCCAGCCTGGTTTGTGGACAGCAAAGCAAAGCATCCTTCATCTCAAGCCAGAGAGACCACTTTGGCTCCTCCTTTATGCATGTGCCCAGCATGCACCATCCACAGTGCTACCTGGGAACCGAACTGCTCAAATTGTTCACTGTGATGGCTCCCACCGTCCCATGGTTCCCACTAGCACTGAAATTGCTGCCCGGGATTGTTCCCCATCAAAAGGCTGACACTTACTTAGATGGCACTCCACTGAGATCTGGTTTCAGAGCGGTAGAAACACAGAAAACACACACAAAAACAAGCCTGTTAAAAAGAAAAAAAATACGAGAATAAAATATTATTTTGATGTTTGTTCATTTTTCACGTATTTAAAAGGCGAAGCAACAGAGAGAGAAAAAGAGAGAGAGGGAGAAGAGAGTGAATTTGTCCATCCGCTGATTCACTCCCCAAATGCCCACAACAATCAAGGCTAAGCCAGGACCCAGGAGCTCTATCTGTATCTCTAGGTGGCACTTAAGCCATAACTTGTTGCCTCCCATGATGTGTTACCAGGAAGCTGGATTGGAAGTAGAGGGGCTTATATATATAGGATGTAAGCAAACCAAGTGGCAGTTTAACCCACTTTTTGTACCACAAAGCCCACAAGTACTATTTATTCAAATAAAAACAACATTAGAACATCTGCCACAAGGATTAGAAAATCATTAGATTTAATTATTTCATTACCTGTCCAGCATACTCCCCTACTTCACTCCACACCCCCACCACAAACTACAGATGATCCATTTAAGTACATAATGTGTCATCCTTAGTGCTTGTATGGTTAAGAAACAGCAGAGTCAGTGGGGAGAAAGGCAGCTTATACATCTTTTTAAACCTATCTGTTCTAATTTACATTCTCATTTCTTCTCTATTTAAAATTCAAGAATCAATCAAAAGCTCAATCCAGTAGGATTTTAAATGGCCTTCTTGGAGAGAAAGAAATGACATTACATTTATCGGTTGAGAACATCAATGGAAAACTAATTTGGGAAAGAAAAGACTAATTAATAAGAGCAGAAATCACTACTTAACTTCCTTTGATCTTAGAAATTATTAAATAGTAAAATAACCACTCCATTTTATTAGGCTCAATAAAACAGAGAAAGCAACAAAAGAGGAAGCAAATCAAGTAATGACCTTAAAAGACAGGGCAAGTTCTGTACCACAGGAAATCCAACCTGCCTGGGGTTGAGGAAAGAACTCAAGGCCTTGTGTGTGGGTGACTAACTCTGGAGTGGCCCATGCCCAGGTTTCTACCTCAACAGCAGAGATGCAATCCACGTATTTTGAGAATCCCAGCTGCCCAAATGGAATGGGTCAAGGCTTGGAGCCTGAACAGAATGGGAGAAAAAATTTGCAAATAAGACATCTGATAAAGGATTAATATCCAGAGTTTCTCATAACTCAAATAACACAATATCAAAAAGCCAAACACTCCAATTTCTAGATGGGTGAAAGACCTGAATAGGCATTCTCAAAGGAAGACATACAAATGACCAATGATACAGGAAAAAAATGGTTGACATCAATAACCATCAGAGAAATGCAAATCAAAAACAATAGAATGTCACTTCACTCATGAGAATGGTCATCACCAAACAGAAAAAAAAATAAAAAAAACAAGCAACTGCTTGCAAGGATAAGGAGAAAGGGGGACTCCTACACATTGTTGGTGGGAATGCAAACTAGTATAGTCACTGTGAGGAGCAGTAAAGGATTTTTCTCTAAGAATACAAAATAGCACTATTGCATAGTCCTGAAATGTTACTGCTAGGCACATATCCAAAGGAAAGGCAATCGGTGTGCTGGAGAAACATCTGCACCCCTATGTTTATTGCAGCACTACTCACAATAGTCAAGAGATCAAATCAACCTAAGTGTCCATCAGTAGACAAATGGATAAAGAAAATGTGGTACAGATACACAGCAGAATGCTATCAAGCCACAAAAGAAAAAGATGGAATCCTATCATTTGTGACAACTTGCATGGACCTAGAGGAAATAATTCAGGCAAAGAAAGACAAGCACGCAAGCGCTCACCCACATGTGGAATTTTAAAAAGTTGATCTCATAGAAGTTGAGAAAAGAACAGTGATTAACAGAAGCTGAGCAGAGATGGGGAGTGAGGGGCCAATGGGTCCAATGTTATGGTTGGCTAGGAGGAAGAAATTCTCCTCTCCTATTACACAGTGGGGTAACTCATTAACAATAATGCATTATGTGGCCGTTGTAGCCCAGCGGGTTGAGCCTACACCTGCAAAACCGGCATCCCATGTGAGTCCTGGCTGCTCCTCCTCCGGTCCATTCCCAGCTGTTGCAGTCATTTGAGGAGTGAAACAGCAGACAGAACATTCACCCATATTCATTCTCTCTTTCTCTCTTTCTCTCTTTCTCTCTCTCTCTCTCCCCGCCCCCATAATTCTGCCTTTCAAATAACTAAGTAAATCTTTTATGAAAGTCAATAATACAGGGGCTGACGTTGTGGCACAGCAGGTTAAAGCCCCTGCCTCCCATATGGGCACCAGTTCGAGTCCCAGATGCTCCACTTCTAATCCAGCTCCCTGCTAATGCACCTGGGAAAGGAGCAGAGGATAGCCCAAGTGTTTGGACCCCTGAGCCCACATGGGAGACCTGAAGGAAACTACTGGTTCATGGCTTCAGCCTAGCCCAGCCCTAGTCATTAAGTCCATTTGGGGAGTGAACCAGTGGATGGAGGATATCTTTCTGTGTGTCTCTACCTCCCTCTGCAACTCTCTTTCAAATAAATAAAATAAATCTTTAAAAAAAAAAAAAAAGGGCTGGCGCCGTGGCTCACTAGGCTAATCCTCTGCCTTGCGGCGCCGGCACACCGGGTTCTAGTCCCGGTCGGGGCGCTGGATTCTATCCCGGTTGCCCCTCTTCCAGGCTAGCTCTCTGCTGTGGCCAGGGAGTGCAGTGGAGGATGGCCCAAGTGCTTGGGCCCTGCACCCCATGGGAGACCAGGATAAGTACCTGGCTCCTGCCATCGAATCAGTGCGGTGCACCGGCCACAGCGCGCCAGCCGCAGCAGCCATTGGAGGGTGAACCAATGGCAAAGGAAGACCTTTCTCTCTGTCTCTCTCTCTCTCTCACTGTCCACTCTGCCTGTCAAAAAAAAAAAAAAAAAAAAAAAAAAAAAAAAAAAAAAAAAAGCACTGCCCTGAGACTTGTGAGCAAATCTTAGAAAGCAGTCATTGTATCTACCCTCAAATTCCTTAAAATCTACTTGGAAAGAGGAATAAATTTGCATAGAAACTAAAGGAGGGAAGGCAGGTGTTTAGCCCAGTGGTTCATGTGCCCATGACCCATATCAGAGTATGTGAACCAACGTCCAGCTCTCACTCCTAACTCCAACTTCCTGCTAACGCACACTCTGGGAGGCAGCAAGTGATGGTGCAGATAGCTGGGTTCCTGCCACTCATATGGGAGACTCAGACTGACTTCCTGGCTCCTCATTCAACCTGACCAGCTGTTACAGGCATTTGGGGAATGAACCAGCAGATAGAAGTTTCTCTCTCTCTCTCTCTCTCTCAAAAAAAAAAAAAAGAAGAAGAAGAAGAAGAAGAAAATAAAGCAAAATACAAAACAGCTCATGAGGAAAAAAAGAATGCAGGGCAGAAATAAGCAATAAGAAGGTTCTAGAAACTTGAGAACTCTAGATAAGAGGGACTAAGTCTCTGGACTCTCAGGAGGCTGACAACTTCAGAGTCCAGGTCAGGCTTAGTCAGATCTCTGAGGAGTAGGCAGCTGGCATCTGGATTTCCTATCCAATGCCCCCAGCTCAACTGGATTCAGTTTACCTTATTTCCATAAATGAGTCTGAACAATATAATTACAGTGTCTGAATCTCTAAAAGTTCTATCCTTACAGAACATACATGTCATAAAATTGCTTTGTAAACAGAAAGTTCTCAATACAATCACTATAAATTCTGTAATGATTCAATTACATCGTGACCACTTTTTTTTTTTTTTGGTTCCCAACACTTAGCAAAATGCCTAGTAGTTAGGAGGTGCCAAATGAACAGGATCTAATGAGTTGTCATTAAGAAGATAATGCCAGACTTTCTACAATTGAACCTAAAAGCCACACCAAGGAGGCAGCAATCGTGTTTGTATTAAGCTATTGACTCCTAGAAAGAAGGGAAAAGCTATAACTGGAATGTCTTTGTACAGGACCCTGATGTAGAGACAGAATCTGCATACTATAAGGTCCTCAGGGTATTAGCTCTGTGGAATCAACAGGTACCAGGCACCATCATTCTCATTTTACAGAGAGGGAGACTGAAGTTGAAAGAGCTTAAGGAGCTTGTCCACGGCTTGCAGTGACTCAGAGTCGGCTTTCCAGCCTGTGCTCTCAGCACTCACACTAGATTATATGACAGGTGACTCAAAAGTTTAAATTGTCTACAAAATATAGCACGCCCCGGTGGTTATAGAATATAGGTTATTTTGCTTGGTTGTTTTAAAAGCAGGACCTGTTCTTCATAAAAATAAATGTTGGTCTGTATCTGGCCCATTTCTGGCTTCTGTACCTCTGCTTGCTTGGTAACGGCCAAGGCCACTAGACGATGGTTCCTCCCGCCTTCTCCCGGCTGCAGCCACAAGTAACACAGACGGCGTCAGGGTCAGTGATGCCATGTCCGACCCCCACTGGGAGCAACTGAGTGCTTAAAAACTTTGCAAAGATAAATAAAGTGAGAAAGGAACTGGCTGATGGGCTAACCACTTCTCCCTTCTGTAGGCCTGCTTTCTGCATGCACAAGCCCCATGAGATTATGACTGATAAGAAAAGGTTTTGTCCTTAACACACACACACACACCCCACTGCAAATTGGTGCTGTCTTCTCTGGACTTGCTCTGAGACGGCAGTCACCAGCTGGCTAATAAAGACTCCTAACTTGACCTCAAAAGTCTCGCTGTGTTTTTTAATCTGTGCGCCCCACAATCACTCACAAAGCCCCATCACAGACGCCCTCCCCTGTAACGTGAACCACGCCACGCACTCTAGCAATGAAGAATGCCTTTTTGAGGAATAGGCTGCCCCTGTCCTTGCTGTGGGTAGGGTTCCATTCAGCTAAGAGTGACAGCAAATCCAAAACAACAGTGACTTAACTCACATTCATGAAGTCCGGAGGTTGGCAGGTGCACGGCAAGTATGACAGCTTCGGGGAAATATGCAGGATAGAGCTCCCGTTCCGAGGCCAAGGCGCGGCGGCGTGCGGCCCTGACACGCGGTGGTGACGTCGTGGGACCCGACCCGCCCGGCCAGCTCATCTGCCGCGCCCGCCATCTTGCCCTCATCCGGGCACCCGCGGCGAGAGGGGCGGGGTCCAGGCCGGAAGCGGCTCCGCAGCGGCGCGCGGCCACCTCAGGCCAGTGCTGTTGGGGAGGTTTTGGTGATGAACGCAGAATCAGCTTGGCTTTCCTTGGCTGGGAAAGCGTCGACGGGAAGTGAGCACTCCTTAAACGCTCAGGATGTCTCCAATAGCAGGTGTCTTCTGTGTGTGCAGCAAATGGGCCTGGCTGGACTCTGTGAGCACGTCCATCAACGTGGAGCGGTATCGAACCTGCGATTTTGTGGGCATCACACCAGGTTGATAGATCTGTTTTATGTGACTCAGAACTGAGCCCTTATCATGTGGAATCGACTGTGAATGCAGCACTCACAGCTGGATCTTTGCGTGAATCGGCAGACTCTGCGGCTGCATTACCGTCCATAAATCCAGAGACAACTTACATGAAACGCGTTGCCTGGTATCTCAGTTATGATCCTGAGTGTCTCCTGGCAGTTGCACAAGCAAATGGTCGTGTTGTCCTTACAAGTCTTGCTCAAGGTCATAACTCAAAGTTCAAAGATTTGATTGGGAGAGGATCTGTTCCAAAGCGTGCACGACAACGCAATACCCTCGCGTGGAATCCTTTGGATAGTCACGGGCTTGCTGCTGGTCTTGATGAACAAAGAGCTGACTTTACAGTGCTGATGTGAGCTATCTGCAGCAAATATACGCCTGACATAGTTCCCGTGGGGCAAGTGAGGCTTTCAGCGTTATTAGTAACAAAGCCACTTTATGAGGACAGAGTGACACTTGTCTCTCTCTTTGTTGGCTTCCATGAGACCAGAAACTTCTGCTGGCTGATATGCATTGTAACCTAGCCATATGCAATCTTAGGAATACAAGCCAAAAAATGTTTGTAGATACAAAAGCGGTTCAAGGGGTGACTGTAGATCCATCCTTCCACGATCGTGTTGCTTCCTTCTATGAAGATCAGGTTGCAATATGGGACCTTAGGAAATTTGAGAAGCCGGTTTTGACTTTGAGCAATGAAAGCCCTTAACGGAAGTAGCATGGTGTCCAACTAGGACTGGTCTGCTTGCCACTTTAAGAAAGATAGTGGCCGGCGCCATGGCTCACTAGGCTAATCCTCTGCCTGCGGCGCCGGCACACCGGGTTCTAGTCCCAGTTGGGGCACCGGATTCTGTCCCGGTTGCTCCTCTTCCAGGCCAGCTCTCTGCTGTGGCCAGGGAGTGCAGTGGAGGATGGCCCAAGTGCTTGGGCCCTGCACCCCATGGGAGACCAGGGGGAAGCACCTGGCTCCTGCCTTGGGATAGGCAGCGCAGCGCCAGCCGTAGCAGCCATTTGGGGGGTGAACCAACAGAAAAAAAGGAAGACCTTTCTCTCTGTCTCTCTCCCACTGTCTAATTCTGCCTGTCAAAAAAAAAAAAAAAAGAAGAAGAGATAGTAATATTATTAGATTGTATGATGTGCAGCATACACTCACTCTTATTCCACAATAATTGGAAGAAGCGTGCAACCTTGTGACGATCACATTGCTTCCTTTGCATGGCATCCAACAAGTCAAAATCCAATGATAGCTGCAACTCCCAGCAGAACAGTGTGTGACTTCAGTGTTTTTGAAAGGATATGTCTCGCCTGGAGTCCAGTTACATTTTTAATGTGTGCTTACGGCCGTCATTTGTATGAATGCACAGAAGAAAATGATAATCCTTTAGAAAAAGATAGCGACACAGGTGCACCTTTGGGCTTTATCAAGGTATGGACTTGATACAGAGCAGGTGTGGAGAAGCACATTTTAGCTGGAAGTGAGGATGCACAGCTCAAGTCACTCTGGCATACTCTGCACTATATCCTTTGCATTTGAACTGGGTCAGGGTAATCAGGTAGAGATGTCCCTGAAGTTTGCTGAAAGGTCAGTTTATAAATATGCTGAATGTTTTATATGCAAGTACAAGTTACATAATACTAAAGTTGCTAAGTAAAATGATTCGAAAACACTTGAACTTGAGATAACTGCTTCGTAGTTTGTGTAGGAGGAAGAGAAGTGTACAGTCGAGTAGGAGTGCTCTGTTTGTCCTAACACCTATTACGAATTGGCTCCAAATCAAAGATATGTTTAGCTTTGAAATATTTTCTAAAACTTCATCACTTAGTATTTCCTGTGCATTTAAATACTTATGAAACACTATATGGAAGATATGGATCAGAAATCTCCAGGCAACAAAGGATCATTGGTTTATGCAGGAATACAGTCAATTGTAAAATCATCTTTGGGTAAGAAAATCCCATTTTGTTTTTTTCCAATGTGTTTCTAACTTTTGTACTCTTTATTTTGTCCCACAGCATTTCGTACATAAATATCCCTTTTTCATTTTGGTTTTCTGGTTAGCTATCTTAGTGCATTGTTGAGTTAAATGCATAATTGTATTCATACCTAAATACCTTTCGGGAGGGAGTCTTGGTTGTTGAAGTGACACTGATGTTGTTCAATCAATTCATTTATTCAGTACTATGTCTTGAAGGTTCACTTTCAGTGGTTTTACACCAAGCAATTTATAGGATGCTGATTGTTAATTAGTATTTTATCACAACATTTTGCTTTTCAAAAACTAAAAGATCTCTAATTGAAAGGGTATTTGCTGCCGAAATACTTTTTTTTTCTTTTTTTTATTTGAAGATAGGGTTACAAAGAGAGGTAGAGACAGAGAGAGAGGTCTTCCATCCACTGGTTCACTCCCCAGATGGCCACAACTGCAGGAACTGCGCCGATCTGAAGCCAGGAGCCAGGAGCCTCCTCTGGGTCTCCCATGTGGGCGCAGGGGCCCAAGGACCTGGGCCATCCTATACTGCCTTCCCAGGCCACAGCAGAGAGCCGGACCAGAAGAGGAGCAGCCGGGACTAGAACCGGCGGCCATATGGGATGCTGGCGCTTCAGGCCAGGGCTTTAACCAGCTGCGCCACAGCACCTACCCCCAAATATTTCTTTTAGCAATAGCTGTGATGTGAAGCTTGACCTAACCTGAAGGAGCCATCCCTGAAATAGTCCCTAATGAATAAATGAATGAATTAATTAATGTATGAGCCAGTGGAAGAGTGGAATTAATAAACTATTTAAGAATAAAATAAAAGTGATGGAAACCCTTTAAAAAACATATGCAGAGCCAGCGCCGCGGCTCACTAGGCTAATCCTCGCCTTGCGGCGCCGGCACACCAGGTTCTAGTCCCGGTCGGGGCACCGGATTCTGTCCCGGTTGCCCCTCTTCCAGGCCAGCTCTCTGCTATGGCCAGGGAGTGCAGTGGAGGATGGCCCAAGTACTTGGGCCCTGCACCCCATGGGAGACCAGGATAAGTACCTGGCTCCTGGCTTTGGATCAGCGCGGTGTGCCGGCCGCAGCGTGCCGGCCGCAGCGCACCAGCCACGGCAGCCATTGGAGGGTGAACCAATGGCAAAGGAAGACCTTTCTCTCTCTCTCTCTCTCTCTCACTATCCACTCTGCCTGTCAAAAAAAAAAAAAAAAAAAAAAAAAAAAAAAACACATATGCAGAATCTATCTTGCCATGCTTCCATTCTCACACAAGACGGCTGCCGAACTCCAGTTATCATATCTATAGCCCACCCATAGGAAGTAGGGAGACAGGAAGAAAGTAATTCTCAGAAATCACTCATTTGCCACCATCATGTGACCATTGCTAGCAGCAAGGGGGACTGAGAAATGAGTCTTTATTCTGGGTAACTGGGTATCCTGCTAAAAACTGGAGATTCTTTCGCTAAAGGATTGAGATGCTGGTGTCACAGTGGCTGATGGCTCTGGGCCTAGGGAAGCCCCTTCCTCATCCAGGCTCAGCGTGAATATGATTAGCTTGTAAGAGGGTGTGAGGACAATGTGGCTACAAAGCTTAGCACCATCCATCACCCGAGTTGAAATAAATAGTAGGATCATCATTTTATTCTTTTTTTTTTTTTTTTTTTTTTTTTTTTTGACAGGCAGAGTGGACAGTGAGAGAGAGAGAGACAGAGAGAAAGGTCTTCCTTTTCCGTTGGTTCATCCCCCAATGGCCGCCACGGCCAGCGCGCTGCAGCCGGCGCACCACGCTGATCCGATGGCAGGAGCCAGGTGCTTCTCCAGGTCTCCCACGGGGTGCAGGGCCCAAGCACTTGGGCCATCCTCCACTGCACTCCCTGGCCACAGCAGAGAGCTGGCCTGGAAGAGGGGCAACCAGGACAGGATCCGGCGCCCCGACCGGGACTAGAATCCAGTGTGCCGGCGCCGCAAGGCGGAGGATTAGCCTAGTGAGCAGCGGCGCCGGCCCATCATTTTATTCTTGAGAGTTTGTTCTACAGATTACAGCAAGCAGTCCCTTCTGAGGAAAAGCAAAAGTTGAACCTCATATTGCTTTACATTTGGCGCCATGCTCATTAAATCCTGTAAAAAGCATGTATTGTCCTACTGCTTGCATGTGTGCAAGCAAGCACTGACGGCCAGGCACTGGCACTGTTGGGGGCCTCACAGCCGGTGGCAGCTGCTCGCGAAGCTTCTGTCTCGCCCGCATCACACAACGTTCACACCACAAAGGAGAACCCAGGGGCCAGAGAAAATGGCCAGGCCTGATCCATTGCCCAGGAGCCATCCAAGAGGGGTTCCCTAGGAGAGATTCATGCTGAGCCTGGATGAGGGAGGGGCTGTCCTAGACCCAGAGCCACCAGCCAAGTTCATTGCCTAAGTCTCGCAGAGCTGGATTTGCACGCAGTAACATACACACATTTCCCTCCCACCGATGGTTGTGACTCTAAGAACTCCTAGGTCCGTTCCCTCAAATAAGTCTCAGAGAAAACCAATGGCACTGATATCCACAGGCTGCAAGTGCACAGCCAACAGTGCCCATCCCAGCTCAGGCCATGACTGGTTCCGCACCCCCATTGCACTCAACACTGGGAGAAGTGGGGGCTGGCGTCGTGGTGCAGCAGGTTAAGCGGCTGTCTGTAAAGCTGGCATCCCATATGGATGCCAGTTCAAGTCCTGGCTACTCCACTTCTGATCCAGCATCCCTGCTGATGTCCTGGGAAAGCAGTAGAAGATGGTCCAAATCCTTGGGCCCCTGCACCCACATGGGAGACACAGAAGAAGCTCCTGGCTCCTGGTTTCAGCCTGGCCCAGCCCTGGTCATTGTGGCCACTTGCGGAGTGAATCAATGGATGAAAG